ATGCATCATCTTGGAATTGCTGGCCGGGCGGTAAATGTTACTACCACTCGACTGCCTCTGGACCCAGTTCAAGGAGGGAGTTAAGCTCGCGCCAGAGGACCCTGGTGTACGACCATGTCTCCTCTAGTCCCTGTCCCCTAGGACAATCTCTCGCGGTCACCGATGCGTGATTTCTTGATGCGCTCTGTTATGTTAAGGAACAGCGCCGGCTCGCCCCGGTCAATGGGTGGGCATACTTCATCTTGCCCTGCCTCAACGACGAAGGGAAGGTGACTTATGACCTTCTCAGTCCAGTCGTAGAGATTCTGTTCAGCTCGCGATTGTATTTGGTGAGGTGGAGGTTAGTATGAATTTGAGGGCGGTAGATCATGTTGCAAGGGAAGTGTGGGTTTATTCCGATGTTGATGAGAAGATGCCGGGGATGTTGTGGTTGAAGGTTATGGGGCCGAGTTCGATGCTGGGTGAGGATGAAGCGGAGGAGTTTGTAGATTTGGTCGGGGAGAGGGCTGTGGGGTTTTCCTAAGAACCCTGACAAGGACATTCATAGTCATATTGATTGATGGGATGATGAAGCTGTTTGGTGAGTTGTTTCTGCCCGAAACTGAACGCAATGAGAGGAAGAGCTTACTTAACATACTATATGAGCCCATGAGGATATACGCAAAAAGGGGATACGTCTGTTGTCTGACACGCGTGAACTTTCATTCATTGTTGATTTCTTCCCCTGGAATGAACGTAGTGAGGGATACTAGTACCTACGAAGCATATACGGCGGACTACATTAAGCCTCCAGATCCCTATGAGATTTTAATAAGTTTTATTAATAGTAATATACTGGGTGTTCTACTGATAAGCTAATCGAAGTCTATTTATATAAGGACTTTATATTATGTTTATCTACTTAAACTATACACGCACTTAGTGGCTAGAATTCCTGTCAAGATAGTATGATTGCTTTTAACAACATTGACAATAACAACTGTTGCTATATAAGACATTGCATAGCTTGCTGTAATACACAAATTCACTAAGCCAACCATCGGAAGATTGCCCCTCTGAAGACACGCGTATGCTTCAATAGTATAATTAAACCCGACGCCTGTCCAGGTACATGGTCGAAGTCATGTACATAGCGTCGAAAATGACACGTTTCGAATGATCAAGAGAATTTCGTGAGTAAACTCAGCACTTGGCGCTGACTCTCTAGTATCTCCAGCCGTAGTAGGTGCTCGTCACAGCAAATGTGTAGGGGTGGAGAAAATGTAATCAAGGCGATTATTTTGGTTTTTATAAGAACTATGACAATTTAAAACGAATGATTGTTGTTTGCCTTACGTACATATTTGAACTACTTTTCCTTAATAGATACATTATATGAACGGATTGTTTCATAATACCCTGATCCCACTACTCCGAAATCGTCGGTAGCGTTCTGGCCACCTAAACTGCCTTTAGGTTCAGGACTTCTGGAATAAGGGAATTGTATGGACCTTTTGGTATATAGTTTAGGATACAGCGCGATAAATAGCGCAGATCACCTTCCTAATGTGCCTTATAGGGTTTCTGTATTTCGGTCAACATGGATATGGTTGTGTTATTGTCATACTTACCAATTGACCTCAATAATCTCAACAGCATCACATAATATAGAGAACCTTGTTTGAAAGAACAATCCTACTTATTCAATCTACGGCTATTTCTCTTTTACGACGAAGGATTGTACCTTGTACCAGCTGCTTGGCACTATTCAGACTCCTTTAACAATATGGTATCTTCTGGAGCAGTATATTATAACATTTAGTCTCACAATACAATTATCTCAGTACAATTCCAGCTTCGATAAACGAAATATTTTGATTTCCAAACAAGATACATACTTCCTTCGGAGCAGCGTAGTTGAATGAAATTAGGGTTCCAGGCTCCAGAGTGACATCACTGTGGGTTGATATACGTGCGAATCACCGGAATTAGCCCTGAATCTCTTATCTATAACAACATCTTGGTATCTCTATGGCCTATGCTATTATTGGAAGCGATATATTCTAGGGAATAGCCAGAAGAGCAACCCAGGTGTTAGTTTCTCTGCGGTTACGTCAGTCAATGATGTGATCGCAACTATTGCATGTCCTGCTTATTCCCTCTTCTGACTCATCATTCTGTATATAGCTCTGGACTAGTGTTTGTTTTTGACTAGAACGCTGTGAGTTTCGTATGGGCTCTGAAATAAGGTTTATTAGAGTGAATTTGGTTATGTGTCGTCCGACTCGGGGTGTTAATGAATGTTGGTCGAAAAAAAAGGCACTAAACGGTGCAAAGAAAACCGGCCAGCTATGTGCAATATATGATATCATTGATAATATCCAAATGGTATCTCGCTCTATACAAAACGTCTATATCTCTGTACAAACAGGCGCTCTCATAAGTCTCAGCGTTTCCCGCGGGGGACACTCATGCAGTGGGGTAAAATCGGAGCCACCAGCAGCACACACATTCGGTCTGGGCATATGTAGTAACCGGGTAAGTCGCCCGTGTGAAGTAGTATGTACCTACGCCCAGAACAACAGGAATGCATTCTCTCGTCATGAACGCCTCCCCCTCACCGCATGGGAACCGGCCCGGTCAGTGAGGGTGGGTACGGATGCTTAAGTATAATATAAGCAGGCCCGCGATTTAGGGTTAGGGCCCGGGTAAGGGACCAGTTCAACCCGATCCGGTCATTGCCAGCCACTTCCGAGTGGGTCGTTGTCCACTAGTGGCCAATCCGATCGTGGCGTGAGTGATTTTATTTTTTGCCTTCGCGATAAGATAGGGATTAACTCAGCCTCGTTTTCATACTCCTCCCCGCATAGCTGGAGTTGCTGGTGCATGAATGCCCGCCCCTCGGTATTGGCGAATCCACCAATGCCAAATGCCGGGATGATCCGGCACATGCGCGTCAGGGACGCGCCGATCCAGTCTCGGCTGACGCGGGCGATTCGGTCGCGAGCGGGCAGCTGCATCGGCCGGTTGTAGAGGTCGAGGCCGAGGAGGTGGATGGGTGTACTGACGAGCTGGATTGAGGCGGGGATGGCGAGTTGGGCGAACAGGATCTTGGCGTAATCGCGGGAGGCAATCCAGTCGGGTACGGAGCTGGATACCACGGCGGGGAGATTGAACGAGCCGAAGATGGTCAGACCGTCACGGAGAAGGAAGGCGGAGTAGGTTGCTAGTGGCATGGTGCGGATGGAACGGCGGAGGAAACCGCTCTTGGAGACGGGGGTGGGATTGGGGATGGGGCTGGTTGGCTTTGCAGCTGGGGGGTGACCGAAGAGTTGGGCGAACTTAACATCTTTCCAGATGCCCACGGACGAGTTGACGACGAATGTAGAGAGGAACGTCGCCATTCCCGCAATGGCATGGTCGACATCAGGGTAAACCCGGTCGAGGACTGTTTCTGTGGCATTTGCTGCTGCAAAGGTTGCGGTGTAGAGGCCCCAAACTAGAAGGCTCGGGCGAGATGTGAGGAAAGTCGCTGGCTGAGTGATGGAGAGCCACAGATGTCGGCGGAACGCTGGCAAGAGGGGTTGATTGTGTGAAGACTTCTCTACGACAAGTCTGGGTGCTGTCAGCAACATTCTTCCTGGTTTTAACGGCCGGCTGTATGATATAGTGAAACGTACCGGTCAAGAATCATGACGGCCGGAGTGATCAGTGATGCTGAGCCTGCTGCAGCTATCACATCTGCGGTGAGGAGTTCCGCCAGGCGGTTCCTCTGCATGGAGAAGGGAAATGCCTGGTGGATAGGGAAGTCTTGTTCCATGTTGATTGCGGTAACGTGCTCTCGAATTTAGGTAGACCGTCAATCCATATATTATTTACTGGGGTAACGAGGGTTGATTTCAGGGCGCGTCGTTTCAGGCGTGTAACCGTGTACGTCTAGTGACTCAACAGAGGAAAAGAATAATAATCAAAGGAATGGGTAACAAGAGTCTATGCCCGTTCGTTAGATATAGTTATGTACGGAGGGGAAGGGCTCGCCGGGGAACTCACCTATTCTCGCTCAAACGCTGGGGTATACTGGGATAATGATGGACAAAAGAAAGGAACCTGGGGATAGATCCAAGGAAAAGATCAGTGAAGGAGGGGCTATATGAAGAACCACTGTACAAGTAATTGTCCAGGAGGTCCATTTAATGACGCCCAACTGTCAAGCCCACAATATTTACAACGAAGCATGAGAAATTCGGCGCACGCGACCAATCAAACACGACCGGCCCGGGAACCCGGGTACAGTCGGGGTATTGGACGGTACCAGCCTGCCGAAAGGTGAGAGTAATGGAAATTCAAGCTTCTCGACCGACTGGGATTAGAGGTGGATCGGTCTTCTAGAAGACGAGCTGGGCAGAGCGAATTGGCGGGCGCGGCGGTGCTGGACCGGGTGGAGTTGCCCTAAGGGGGCTGCCCTGCCCTAACGTGCCCTAAACTCCGCATTGATCTACGGCGTACGATACAGTCGAGACTTAGTACGACGGCCGATTCTCTGATCGTCTCCAGGGAAAAGAACAGCAACGAGAACAACTTGTCGCCGAGCGATAAGCCCGTCTCGGTAATAACTCGGAAGCTATGACTTGTCCTCGGCGCTTCGCGGAATACTGTCCAGCCAAGACAGCAGCATCGCGTCCCTTTTATAGCCCCGTTAGCGAGAGTGCGCGACAGCCTGCCACACGATCTGAATGTTTCACCCTTATCACCCTCAGCCTCTGTGTCAATGTGTTTTGTAACGATTTGCAAATCCCCTCCAAAGTGGAGCGGACTATATGCAATAGGGGTCCACTTGTGCAGATGATAAGCTGATAAAAGATCGGTGTGCGCCCTGTTCCTGGCGGTTGGACAACGCACACCCCCTGGTCAGCGTGGCTTGTTTCAGGCACCGCATCGACAAGATACCAGCGTGATTCTTCAGGATGTGGTGCCTGACTACTCAATAATAGTAGATCTATACCAAGGAAGAACCACTCAGCCGGCTCAACAACAATTGCATGTTCTTCTAAGTGTAAGTGGGGTCTTAAATGGTGAGATTCGGCTTCACAATGCTCCATTGACCTTTCAAGTATGGTTAATCCACCACCAGTGCACCAAATTTCATGCAAATAGCTTACTGTATCAAAACTAAAAGCGAATGCCAACTATAGCTGCAATAAACAAAGAGAACGCTTCGAACAGATTGAAATCAAGCAGTCCAGGAATCGAGAAACTCTCCCAGGACAGTTTACAGTGATATTGAAGATGGTTTCCCCGCTCCGATGGGATCTCTCTTACATAAGAATGCAACTACCCAATGTCAGCGTTTCCATATACAAATAGAGGTGATCTGCCTTACCAGCTATTCTGCTTCTTCGCAGAGGTGTAGAACATCTTCGATTGCGAGGACAAACCCTCACTCTAAAGCCCAGTTAGCTCCTTTTCTGGACCCACCTGCCACATGCACCGTAGAGGTAATAAACCATACCTTATTGACCAGGTCATCAATCTTCTCTCCACGCTCCAGGACGCTCTCGATAGTCTTGTGGAGAACAATCTTGGTCTCGTCCAGCTCCTTCTGAATCTTCATGATGCTGTCCACCTGGTGTGGGTCCTGGTAGGCCGAGATGTATGTCTTCAGGGAGGGGAAGGGGACCGGCTGGGTGGAGGAGCCCGCGTTGGGGTTGAGGGTGAGGAACTCATCGAGGACCTTGGAGAGGATCTGATGGGCGGCCAGCGAGGGGTATTCGTTGTCGCTGATAATGACACCGGCGATGCCTTGGGTGCGCGCATACACGTGGAATGTGAAATCTGAGGGGCGGTCAGGGGGGAGTTGTCGGGTGGCGACTAGACACGGGCAACCACTTGCCTTGCTCCTGGATATCTTGTCTCTGGCCTTGCTTTGTTCTCTCAGCGACCGTCTTGCTGAACATGGTCATGAACTCGCTGATGCTGCCCCTAGTGAAGCGCGAGTAACTGGTGAGCTCGCGCTCCGCACACAGCTCCACCGCCGGCTGTTGGGCATTCTGTAGGACCTATCACGCACGAAGCAGGTTAGACAGACACGACAGTCTAGTAGGGACCTCCACAGACTCACTCCGATATAGAGGATCTTCATTTTGACGAGCTCCGAGGGGTTTCTAACTGACTGACGTCGTGGACAGTTGGCTGAAGTTTTGCGGGGATCTAATCTCGGAGGCGGAAAAGCGCCTCGCCTCACCGCCTTCGCCCATTTTTTCAGGCAACCACTCACATGCTCCAGTGTACCATGACTTGTCAGCCTCATCAGTTAGGCAGATACACACGTCCCATCATGATATTGAAGTATTACAGTATTATCCTATGTACAAAACGTATCCAGGTCAAACATCTAAGTCATGTATGACCCACACTATGTATTCCGGCTTTCGGCGGTCAACGCCTCTCTCTCTTCCACAGTCAAATCACTCTTTGCATGGTGAATTCGCACGAAGAACACAACAATCAGGCCACCAACTAATGCCAGCGCCGTCTCATACCAGAAAACAGCCTTGAAGCTCTTAAACTGGCCAAGATGCTCTGTTTCCGACTTGACAATATCCGCGAACCCCAAAAAAACGGCAATGCCGAAGTGTAGAGTGCAATTGATCAGTGCCCCGGCCAATCCCTGTTTGGCTTTGGCAGATGAGTGGTGATAAAGATGTTTGAAATGTTGAAGCTGATGTCGATGCCGACTGTGCCACAAATCATGGCCGGAAAGACGAAACCCCAATATATCCCACCTTCGGGAATCACAGCGAAGAACAACCCCGAGCCGGCGTATCCAATGCAGGAGATAAGCATGAGGAGCGTGCCCGAGACCTTGTGCATGATAAACCCTCCTGCGGTCGCAAGGATGAGGCCTCCGACCCCCATGGGGGCTGTCCACGCCACGATTTGTAGCGGGCCCGCACCCATGACATCCGACATGCTGCAAAGAAGGTCAACACCAGACTGAAAAGTGGCAGAACGGATTCACTTACTATAGAACTGCGTATAAAAAGTATATGCCGAGACTCCCGTAGAGCAAAAGCAGTGCAATGACCAACGGTGTCAGGTATTTGACTGCAAACAAGTCCCCCGGAAGCAGGGGGTTCTCGACCACCCAGCCTTCCATGTAGACCATAAGTCCCAGAAAAATCACTCCCAGGCAGAAGCAAACTGGGATGTATGGTGTTTTCCATCCTTGCGGTGCGTAGGAACTTTCCGCAATCGCAAACACGAACAGGACAGCTCCTGGTACGGAAAGACAGCATCCGACCCAGTCCATTTTCACGTTGGCCTTTTTCCTCTCAGCAAAATCGCTGGGAACTGAAAAATACGAAGAGATGAACGTGACAGCGGAAAGGATTGCTCCAATGAAAAAGTACCATCTCCAGGAGAGGAACTGACTGCACAAGCCTGAAAAGAAAATCCCGGCAAAGAAACCCAACGCCGCACATGCGCCGTAGACGCTGAAAATGAGATTCTTCCGCGGACCGGGTCGATATGTGCTACCCAAGATCATTATCCCCGACGGAAGGAACGCGGCAAGAGCAAATCCTTGCAGAGCTCGGCAAATGATGAGCATTAGCCAGGTTTGAGAGAAGCCGGCCAGGATTGATGAGACTGTCAGCCAGCCTGCCCCTGCAAGGTAGAGCACATAACCCCCATACATATCTCCAAGTCGACCGAATATAAGAAGCGTGGACGTAACCACGAGAGACAGTGCGGTGGATGGCCATACCACCGACGCTTCTGGGATGTGCAATTCCTTGACCAGCGTCGGAACAAGAACATTTGAGCCAGATATGTAATATTCCTATCAAGGAGTTAGCTCTTCTGAAATATTTGAGCAGCATGCGTGCAACAACTCCATACCGCAAGAATCTGGGACATGACAATCGAAAATCCAAAAGTCAGTTCCGACCAAATATTCGAGAAGCACGGAGGACGTTCTCGGCCAAGTCGCTCGAGATCTAGGTCTGATTGCTGCTCTAATTGCGATGGAGACTGCGGTGTCCCCAGACCAGGAGACCCTGTCTCCTCAGCGGACTTCTCCATGTTTGGATCCGATCCACTGAGTGGTGTTTCTGCAATGGGTGCCATGGCTGGCTGGTGTTGACTTTGAAAAATGACAAAGACGTAGTCTTTTCTGGGGAAACCAGTTTTATATCACGTTCTGCATTTTTCTTTTACTAATCGATTCATGGAACATTCAATGAATTTCTAACTACCGACGCATCGTGCAGACAACCACGATCGGCACTATGGAGGGCGTTGAGAAGCCATTCCTATTAGGATGAACCAGTTCGGAACATGCCCACCGGGTGGCCAATAGCTTCTAGCGGGCAACTGCAGTCGAATCGCACCTCTCTCCACTAACACTAGAAGCGAATTTTTCCGAACCACGTAGCTTAGTGGCCCAGATGTCAGCGTTGTCTTTAGCCTCAACCTTCCACTTCAACTTCCGTTTTAGGAAGTTGTCGGGAGTGGGGCCAATTCACAGCTTCGCGCCTCTTTCGGGCCTGCTCCATGAATACCAGCATATTTTCGGTTATAATTTCTTTGCATTAAGATCAATGACTCACTGGCTTTGGGAGAAAGAGATTTCTGCTAAACAATGGCATCTAAACCACGAACCCCAGTCTGGGTGGTCTCACAGTCATCTAGTGCTGGTACACTATAATCCGGGAAGAGCGTCCGTGCTTTACAAATGTTCCTCTCGCACCCTCTATGTTCCTCCCTACGATCATCGGAGTTTTCAAAAGTTCCCTACGTTTGGAAGTGGTAAAATAATTGGACCGACTGCCCGTTACAGGTTCTTGAGCCTCTCGAAGGCAGCAGATGTGCATTGAGATTGACAATGGCTTCTATTACAATGATCGCATGTTGTCACTTATGATCCATTGTCCATTCCCCACGAAACGTCACTCAGATCACCTAGCTGTACCAACCACAGAGATCCTCGATAGAGCCAAGGGAAGAGCTATTTGTTGTGTCGTTGCTCGGTACATATGTGGCTAGATCAAGGCCCCCCTCTCCTCCCCCGAAAGACGGTCCAGCGCTGGAACTGGGCGTTGCAGTATTCCTGCCCACTCCCGCCCCGATTCCAAGCACCGTCTGAGCGATCGTCTGTAGCTCGCGCACATTCCTTGCGATTCGCGGCCACACCTCGCCCAGCACCTTGAGACATCCGAGCGTCATCCGAATCTGATCTCTCGCAGTGGACAATTGAGTACCTTTCAGTAGAGTCGCGCAGGCTGAAAGTAGCGCCAGCGTTCCCTCGCTCACCATGCAGGTGGTAAATGGCGTATGATGAAATTCAGCAAGCGGCAGTGCTAAAAGGCGGATCTGGGCCTCCACGGCTCGCAGCACCCGCACTGTGTGTACATTAACTAGATCTGGGATGGGTGTGTCGAGGGGTGGCTCTCGGGCACAACTTGATATATCCTCCACTGCATTGAACTTCAGGGCTGAGAACGGCCGGTGTAACCCGATAGCGGACCTGCCAAATGAGTTCAGACTACGAGACAATTCAAATATTGCAAGGTGGTGCACGAGGGCGGCCTTACACATGGATGAGCAAGTGAGCTTGGAACATTAGCTCGTCGACTTTCCCGTTCTTGTCCATGACCTGCTTGCGATCATTCGGTAATAGCAATCGCCATCCGTCCAGACTACTGTCTGCTGCTTGAATGACATGCGTCGAGTCTTCTTTGGTTGCGATCTTCGGGGCTGCGGATATCGCCGCTGCGGCACATTGTACGGCTCCGATGAGATATGCAAAGGATGAGAAATGGATCGGTTCAGTGGAAAATTCGCGACAGTTGAACTCTTGTAGCGTGCGAGGCTCGGGTATATCCTGGCCCCCGGTGAGCTATCTCAGCTTTTCCAGGGCGCTGAAACAGGCGTCCAACGAAGCTTTGGGTGGCAATACTTACCCCCGACTCGTACTCTAACTCTTCACAGGGTAGTTCCACCGTAGGGGAAATGTTCGCGACTCGAAAGTTCATGGTCCCCAGGGTGCCGGTGTAATAGGCGTCCACGGTGTACAGCATCCACCATGTCCGCCTCCAGCATTCCCTCAGCACGGGATCGTCGCCCCCATGTGATGCCGCAAAGTCTGAAAGAAACATCTTCAGCTCAAGGGCAAGTCCCGTGGCAGCGTCCATCTCCTGTTTGGCAGCGTCTTTATAGTCGTACCAGAATAAAGCTATAGAGAGTAGGAATCTAGATTGGACTATGATTGGGTCAGACGGTGATGCCTGTAGAAAGCATGCCTCAAGCTGGTCTCTCAACGAGACTGGCCATTCGCGCGAAGTGTAGATAGATCCTATTAATCGCATCGCAGCAAGAAGCGGTGTGAAGCTGGACTGTCTCTGTGGATCTTGATACAGTCTTGTGAGATGTTTCTGGGGTAAGAGAAAAGGGTGACATCCATGGAATTTCTCATAGTATGCCTTGATTAAGGGGTCATTCTCGATGTCATCGGTGCTTGCGCCCGGATACGAGATGCCTAAGATGACATCGCCAACACTGATCGTCTCGCTCGGCTCAGGGCGCAGGCCCCCCGCCATCAAGGGAGCGGAATGCCCCTGGACCTGCAAAATTGCTGTATATGACTGACGACTGGAGTCAGAAGTTGATAATGTCCCCTCCCCCGCCGCAAGTCGTTGGCGACGATCAGCCAGGGCTGCGCGGTCTAACCCACCGCGACGGGATCGTGCGTAGCTACACTCCTGGCCAAGCTCAGTGCAGCGGGCACAGCAAGGCCGCTTGCCATCGCACTTGACATGACGCGAGCGACACGGTAGACAAGCCAGCGAGGAGCGCGTGGCTCGACGACTATGAGAGCTTGATGTAGAAGTAGAATCCATGGTGGTCGTTGATCGTCCAGGTTGAAGCGTTGGCGGGTATTCATACAGGGCCGGTAACTAATCGTACAAAAAATACGTCCTTTCAACTGGTAAATCATTCAACACTGCTGACGGGTACCCGTAATAGGCTATCCATCAAATCGAATAACCGTACCAATGATTGTAGTGGCGAGGCCATGTCCACCCACTTACCCCACAAAATGAACTATTTCTTTGCCAGGTGTTGACGGTACAGGGGCCATATACGGCATGATTCCTAGCTAACAGTAAACTGGCCGTCTTGCTAGAAACAAAAGGCTTTGTAAAAGACGTTTCCAGTACCGTCATGAACAATATATTTACACGCCCAGTAAGTAAGGAGTGCTTTACAAGCCTTTCTCCGCTGTTTTTCAACTGCAGATACCCGCTGCAAGCATATCTGCGAGTCGGGCTTAACCGTGGGAACCCGCAGTCATTCCTCATCCAGGAATTGAGGTGACAATATCGGTATATCGGGTACTCGGTGATCATGAATCCGTGAACAGGTCATACCCTCCCGATGGATAGACTCCGAGAAAGCGTAAACACCATTGGCTCGGAGAGTAAGTGCGAAAACGCGTTCTGTGAGTGAGGATGAGGAGAGTTCAATGTCATTCGTTGGATGTGAATTGGCTTTTCGTCATCTCACATCCTCACTCTCGTATTGGCGATGTCCTAATCGATTGGCGTTAGGCTGTTGGGAAACAGAACGATTTTGCAGTCTGTTTCCAGATCATCCATAACGTATAAATAGTCTACTTCGCCCGGACTTGAACAAGGTCAGGCTCTAGCTTATACCCAACTGATTCAGTCCAACTACAGAACACCCTTTGGACGTGTTTGATATAACTACATACGTATCCCGCTATGGAAGAACCAACCTACGATCCGAGGTATGTACATACATCCACGCTAACATGACAGAATACATCTAACAAAGATCTTCGCTAATATCTACAACACCAGCTGTCCTCTTGCGACCACCACTGTGGTCTACCAATATAAGCTGGCCAACTGTCCTGGGAAAACTACAGTGGGCCTGCTCGTCGAATACCCGCCCAATGGTGCTACGCCCCCTCATCGGCATGGAGGAGCTTCCGTCTCTGCGTATGTGATCAAAGGTTCGGTGTTGAACAAAATGAACAACGACCCGATGAAGGTGGTCGAGCAGGGCGGGTCGTGGTATGAAGCCCCGGGGTGCCATCATCGGATCAGTGCCAACGCCAGCAAGACCGAACCCGCGACGTTTTTTGTGAACTTCGTTCTTGACACCGAGACGCTGGAGCGAGAGGGGCCGGCTGTTCTGGTGCAGTATGATGAGGAGTATAAGGATATTGTCGCCCAGAAGATGAAGGCTTGAAATAAATGAGCTTTGTTGGGTTCGGTCTACTTGGGGGGGTGCTGTCTTATCGTTTTGCTAGGGCAAAATGCCAGCTCCACGTGGGGTCACCTGTATACGCTACGAAACCTATGTGTGTACATATCTCATACCAACAGATCGTGATCAATCTGCAGGTTGAAGGATGTATCAGAAACTCTCCATTTTTGATGAGTATCCAAAAGTGTAGATTTATTGCTCAGGAAATGAGTCATTGACCTTGGTATTCCCATTAGATAGCTCCCCTAGTGGGTTGAGTATGTTCTATACACGGTTAAGAAAAACCGTCAGTAGCAGAACAGGGGAATGCCTTTAAGAGAAAAAAGAAATCTATTAGGGTCCCAAGCATGGTTTCCAGGCTGCACACAGTCTCAATCGCTCGCTAGATTTCCCCAGAAGTTCTTATAACAAAAGTTCGTCACTTCTTACACACGATTGGCGATCTATAAGGCTATTCAGGCCATGTAGTTATCGTATCCCTTCCAGATCACAAAGTGAGTATAAGCTGTGAAACAACGAAGAAGCTTGATGGCGATAAGCGAAATCAAAGTTCATTTGCTTGGCAGATAACATCCCATCGTGTGCCAATGAGACAATCGCGAAATAGAACAACTCATCTCATTATGTCACGTAAACTTCCAGGACACTTGCTGGTGAGATATGATAATGCAGGCTATCGATGCCGTCACAGAGATACGAAAGAGCGGTCTTAGACTCAGGTAGCATTGCAAGGCATGCAACTACGTGTACCCGGTAGTCTGAGCCTTTATGCCCGTCTTGCCTTATAATTAGAAGGTGGATACTGATCAAGATCCCCCGATAATATACGTCAGGTTTGAGGACCTCGGTGTAGGATCGGATCGACCAGTATAGGGCACCCGGAGAGTAAGCATATTGAACACATCTCATGGTTTACGCAATCGCCAGCAAACATCAGATATATGCGAGCAGTTCTGAACCGAACGGATGGCCAACTATCTCGTGGTCCCATTAGCAAGGCTCAAAACAGCATTCTCTACTCCGTATTCCATCTACTGTTGCATCAGGTGCAGAGGACTCCTATCTGAGAGATGTTTCGGGTTTCAGTCTCTGCAGATTCCTATCGCTGGCACCGACCAATTGGATATTTGGGGATCGGCTTCGTGGCACAAACCGCTCACATGTTGACCATCGCTTAGTATCCGACTATGCACCTTGATTTTCTCCACGAAAACTGTACGGGGACCAAACTCCAGAGTGGAGAAATAAGCCCTGAAAGGCGCTCCGATCGGTGTTTAATTCCGCCCGACGATCGCGGGTCAGCCAGTGTCATGGCAGAGGTTCTGCGTGGGTACCCTATATTGCATGGATGCTATTCCACCGGAGATGATAGATCTACGCCAACGTGAATTGGCGCTATGCAGGACACACCGACCAGCGCCAGGCTGTTCTTTGTCTGAACGACCCATGTCTATCATGGCCGCGTCGAGAAGGTGCATGGAGGATTTTATTAGTTGTGCCAAGCAAAGGAATTTGCGCGCTCTCCACCGGCAGCGTTGCATTCGTGCAGTGGGGAAGCAAACACGAAGCGAAGAATCGTCTATTCTTGGCAGGCGGAAAGGGGAAAAAAAAAATTAAATAAGAAATAGAATAAGAAGAAAAAAGAAATCAGAAAATGAGCACGTGCGGCGGCGATTTCACAATACTGGTAGCCCTCGTTTCGTGCCATGATCCACATCGACGAATTCGTCATTTTTCCAAACGCTTCCTGCTTCGCCAACCCTCCATACATTGTCCGCTGGGCTGGGCGCCAAGGAGCGCTCCGATCTCTTCCAATGACTGTCATCCTGCATGTCTAGGCATGGCACGTCCTGGACTCAGCCAAACGCTAAAAATCGGATCCCCCAGCACGTTGGCCAATTCACTGTAGTCTGGTTAGGAATCACTTAAAAGGTCCCTGTCTCCTCCCACTCCATAGAGAATCGAACTCCATTGCCCATCAGTATCGATCGTTCCTAGATCAGACCCTCGTCAGTAAATACGTCTGCATAGGGGTGCAATCAAAGCTTCCTCTCCCATGCCGGGCGAAAAGAACATTACCTCAGGGTCCGGGGACTCTCCTTTGAGTCAACCGGCCCATACTCTTCCCTATGATGTTGTGATTAGAGAACTCGGCTCCAGACTCGATGAGGGTTTGAGCTCGGACGAGGCAAAACAACGTCTGCACCAGTATGGCCCCAACAAGTTGGAAGAAGGCGAAGGTGTCTCCGTCATCAAAATCCTCATCCGCCAGGTTGCCAACGCAATGATGCTAGTTAAGGGACCCACTTTCCTTTGTCATGATCCCCCCTTCACTGTATAAGAGCTCCCAGAGTCTGATCCAATTCGTCGTTGTAGGTCCTGATTCTGGCCATGGCGGTCAGTTTCGGTATCCAGTCCTGGATTGAAGGTGGCTTCATCTCCGCCGTGATCGTGTTGAACATCATCGTCGGCTTCTTCCAGGAGTATGCCGCCGAAAAAACCATGGAATCTTTGCATTCGCTGAGCTCACCCACCGGTACAGTCTCCCGAGACGGTCAGACCTTCTCGGTTCCCTCCGTGGAGATTGTTCCAGGTGATATGGTTGAATTGCGAACGGGTGATACAGTTCCGGCAGATCTCAGGTAGGTCCTCCGTGTATATTATATGTCAGTTCAATCTCGGTTAACGGTGAATCCTATCAGATTGGTCGAAGCCGTGAACTTCGAGACGGATGAGGCCCTCCTCACGGGAGAGTCTCTACCTGTCCAGAAAGAATATGACTCCACTTTCAAGGAGGACACTGGCCCCGGCGACCGTCTGAACATTGCGTATAGCTCCAGCACGGTCACTCGTGGCCGTGCCCGTGGTGTGGTGATCGGTACCGGTATGTCCACGGAAATTGGTTCTATTGCTGCCGCGCTGCGGGCCAGCAATAGTAAGAAGCGTCCGGTGAAGCGTGGCCCTAATGGGGAGACCAAGAAGCGCTGGTATGTCCAGGCGTGGACTCTGACTGGAACCGACGCTGTCGGCCGCTTTCTTGGTGTCAACGTTGGAACTCCGCTGCAGAGGAAGCTGTCAAAGCTGGCTATCATTCTGTTCGGAGTCGCTGTGCTCTTCGCTATCGTTGTCATGGCTGCCAATCTCTTCAGTGACAACAACGAGGTCATTTTGTATGCGGTTGGAACCGGTCTGAGTATGATTCCGGCGTGCTTGGTGGTCGTTCTTACCATTACTATGGCTGTGGGTACGAAGCGCATGGTTGAACGGAACGTCATTGTTCGCAAGCTAGACTCTCTTGAGGCCCTGGGTGCCGTAACGGACATCTGTTCTGATAAGACGGGTACCTTGACTCAGGGTAAGATGGTTGTCAAAAAAGCGTGGATTCCCTCGAAAGGCACATACTCCGTTGGCACCTCCAACGAGCCCTTCAATCCCACCGTTGGCGATGTAACATTCACTCCGGTGTCTCCTGAGCACTTTGACGATGAAAAAGAGGGTGAACCGGCGGCGAAGCCCGAGGACCTCATCCCGGGGAACCGTCAGCTGGAGGACTTCCTGGACGTGGCATCCATGGCGAACTTGTCTCATGTCTATAAATCCGACGAAGGGGAGTGGCGCGCTCGTGGTGAACCAACCGAAATTGCCATTGAAGTATTTGCTTCGAGGTTCAACTGGAATCGCGACCGATGGACTAAGGGTGAAGGCGCTGTGTGGCACCAGAATGCCGAGTTCCCATTTGATTCCACGATCAAGAAGATGTCTGTCATCTTCACCAAGGTTACTCCGCAAGAGGAACGCTCTATGGTTTTCACCAAGGGTGCTGTCGAGCGCATCATCGATGCTTGTACCACGATCATCTGGGACCAAGACTCGTCCACACCTGTGCCCATGACCGATAGCCACCGCAACTCGATTCTTCATAACATGGAAGAGCTCGCCAAACTCGGTCTCCGCGTGTTGGCCTTGGCTCACCGGCCGTACAAAGCAGAGAGCCGTCTGCTCGAAGATTCCGATATCAACCGTGAAGATGTCGAAAAGGACCTCTGCTTCCTCGGACTGATTGGTCTGTATGATCCTCCGCGCCCCGAAACGGCCGGTTCTATCGCAGCTTGCTACCGTGCCGGCATTGAAGTACACATGGTCACTGGAGACCACCCAGGAACCGCCAGAGCCATCGCACAGCAAGTGGGAATCCTCCCTGCGGATCTCAGCACGGTGGCAGCCGACGTGGCTGACGCTATGGTCATGACCGCCGGTCAATTTGATAAACTCACAGACGACCAAGTCGACGCTCTTCCCACCCTACCTCTGGTCATCGCACGCTGCGCGCCCCAGACCAAGGTCCGTATGATTGACGCCCTCCACCGCCGCGGACGCTTCGCCGCCATGACCGGCGACGGCGTCAACGATTCCCCATCCCTCAAGCACGCAGACGTCGGTATCGCCATGGGTCAAGCTGGATCCGACGTCGCCAAAGACGCCTCGGACATCATCCTGACAGACGACAACTTCGCCTCCATCCTCAACGCCGTCGAAGAAGGCCGTCGCATCTTCGACAACATCCAAAAATTCGTCCTTCACCTACTCTCCGAGAACATCGCCCAAGCCTGCACCCTCCTCATCGGCCTCGCCTTCCAAGACAAAGACGGCCAGTCCGTCTTCCCCCTGTCCCCCGTCGAAATCATCTGGATCATCATGATCACCTCCGGCATGCCCGATATGGGTCTCGGCATGGAAGTCGCCGCCCCGGACATCATGGACCGCCCACCGCAAAACAAAGCCGGCATCTTCACCTGGGAAGTGCTGATCGACATCCTCGTCTACGGGCTGTGGACCGCCGCGCTGTGTCTCGCAGCCTTCTCGATCCGCATGTGGGGATTCGGCGACGGCAACCTCGCACGCGGCTGCAACCGAGAATGGAGCGAAGAGTGCGATCTCGTCTTCCGCGCGCGCGCCACCACCTTCGTGTGCCTGACGTGGTTTGCGCTCTTCCTCGCCTGGGAGATGGTG